TGCGAACTGAGCGCTGCCCATTTCCCGGCAGCGGGGCAGCAGCTCTGGCCAGTGTGTGACAGAAGCGGCGGCCGGGCCGGGCTCTGGGCCGCCCGGGCCGTCTGTGGTGTGTATGCTCTCAGACGGTAATTCCGGCTGGTGGGCGCCGCTCGCGCTGCGGCGTGACGTCAGCCGCGACGCGCTGTGTTTATTGCCGGGCCGGCCAGCGCGGCTGTCCTGCGGCTGACCGACGCCAGTGGCCGACCCACTGCGAGCAGACAGACGGACTCGGCAGCCGTCACCGCCGACGGCACCGCAGTGACACGGATCCCCTGAACGGCGGCAGCGTCCGCGTGGTGCTAGCCGTGACTTCTGCAGCGGCAGCAGACTCTTCTTTCAGCAGAGTCTGTCTTTGGAAACCTCTGATCGTGAAGCGCGGCGCTGAAGGAGTACGAACTCTTCTACCGAGGAATCGCCAAACGCCCCTCACAAGGTAGGTTGACAGTGGATGGTAGTGGCAGGAGGCTGGCCCGTCTTTTGTAGAAAGCACATCGAGCTATATGGGGACCGGTTGATCGGACATGGTAACGTTTGAATGTTTTATCTCAGCAGCCGTAGGCCTGATTGTCTGGAGGTCTACCTACAGTCAAGTAGCCCCTTCTCAGGTCAGCCTTCTGTCGACTGATGTATTTGGATGACGACCAGGGTGTCAAAATTATTTCGCTTACAATAAGAATAACTTCGCAATGAGTGCGTTTGAAGGAATCCCGCGCAACTTCGCTTGGATCTCAGTCCGTACGGGCGCAGAGTGCAAGCACTGCTCATTGTAGCGCCAGTTCGTAGGTCTCCTACAAGCCAAAAGGCGTCTAGCTAATGATTTAGCCCGGCCCATAAACTGGCCGAAGTGGCAACCCGTTCGGCTGGGTAAGATGATTACGTATCCGAGTTTTTATTCTTGATTCATCACTAAATGGAAATGTCTGCAATTGACGTCAAGGTTTTCACACGCGCCACCATGTGGTTGTTAGGGTGCATATAAACAAACCGTTCGGCTAGCCGCGTATAACCGAAGCGACTTGTTTATCCTTCAAATGTCACTGAACCGATATGGGAAGAAATTTTTGTATCGTGCCGTTCAACGACGGTGCCAAGTCGAGCATCCTGCAGCTGCCCACCTAGAGAAGTTTGCGCCTTGGGGGAGAGGGACGGGGAGCAAGCTATTTCGGCCTGAAAAGTCCATTGCAGAGCTATGGAATGATACTTGATAGGGTGTCGACATTGGACTGTGCCGACCACCGACGGTGCGCCGCACCGGCAGAGACCGTCCCAGTGGGACGGTGGGGCGGGAATATCCCGATGGGACAGCCCGCCCTGCCGCTCACAAGGTCATACCGGACTGAGGATGTCGTTCAATAAGGACTTGTCAATGTCGGATGTCCTCACCTCACCAACGGTTCTCTGGAAGGGGTTCTCTGGAAGAAGCCAGTCGGGAAAGGGAAGCGTTAGGAGGATGCGGATGGGCTTGCCCTGAGGAAGGGAAGGACGGATGACCTGTGTTTGTGCTAGTCTGTGCTGTCGGTGACCTGACCTGACCTCCTCGGTCGCCCTGTGACCTCAGATGCAGCTGCCGTGCGTGGCAGTGCTCGCGCTGCTCCTCTTCAGTCCATCAGTCACGTGTCAAGGTCAGTATGTTTACCTTCCGTAGAGGTAGGCATTAGTGCTTTGTACTTAGGCTCTGCTGCATGAAGTGTCTGCTCATCAGAGTCCAAAGAGGGCAAAGGGCGGGCAAAACGAAAGAGAAACTATTCGGTTTCAATCTCCGTATTCAAGACGCGTGCTGATGATTCTGATCACTTAGCGGGGCCGGCGGTAGATGGGCGTCCAGAAACGTGTGACGGCATGGTGTCGCATGCGCTATAGCATCTCAAAGGTGTCGCCTATGTCTATAGTGTCATCTAATAGCTCTCTGCGGGGCTACGCTGCACCAGGAGCTGCACGGAATCTGGTATATGTTCGTAAACAACAGACAGAAGCTGAACGACACTAACCACCCTCCCAAACGCCAGCATTCCACCGTCTGGCTGTGAGACTTGCAATACGCATATATTATTAGTTCAAATAAATCAAGCAAGAAGATCAAAGATGTCCTATGATTTAGACGGCAACGGCCACCGACACACTTTTATCTTGAGTTAACCACACCCGTTTGTGTTTCAGGTTTCTATTTCCCTGACGAGGAGGTAACACCGGCGTCGCCACGGCCGTCGCCCACCGGCATTGTGGAGAAGGAGCCGGCGGGCGTGCCGCTGTCGTCGGAGGGCGCTCCGCCGGAGCCCGGCGCTGTGAACGAGTCGTCGCCGACAGACGGAGTGGCCGTGGGCCCGCGCCGTATCAGCGGCGTGAGGCAGCGGCCGCGCATCACCGTCCTGCCGCCGGTGACGCCGGAGCGGCAGCAGCACGTCATCGCGCCATCGGAGAAAGACGAGGACGACATCATGGGCGGCTTCTACTTCCCCGAGGACGAGACTGAGGGTGGCGAGCAGTACGGCGAGGACGAGCTGGAGCTCACCGGCCGCAGCTCCGACAACTTCAGGTGCCTGTTCCCGCCGCGGAAACTCGCCGGCACCTGTGTCATAATGAACCACTGCCCGCCGCTGAAACGGCTGACCAGTCGACTCACGCGCAGAGTGCTGTACCTACTCAACTCCATCAAATGCAGGAATGTCAACTCGAACATACCTATGTATTGCTGTCCGAATAACCTCATAAGGAGACCAGTCCGCCCTGCTGTTGTAGAAGAAAGTACGACGGTTTCTAGCACTACTACTACCACAACCACGACAACTACAACAACTACAACAGAGCGTACTACACCGAGTACTTCACCATCGACCGTCCCAACCCCGCCACCCACCGCTCCACCAACCATCCCAACCAAACCATCAACCGCCCCACCCCCACCGTCCACCGCCCCACCCACACCGTCCACCGCACCGGCCGCCAAACCCTTCGCTGCCAAACCCACCCCAGTCGCCACCGCGCCCACCCCCACGACACCCGACACCACCCCTGCGCCCGTCGCGACGGAACCCCCCACAGAGCCACCGACGGCGCCCGCCCCTACCCAGTCCAGCAGCAAGCGTCCGTCGAGGACCAAGAAGGACTTCACCTCGGAGGGCGATCCCGACTCTGACTACTCCGACTCCGACTCTGACTCGGACGCGGAGGAGGAGGTCGGCCAGGAGGCGGAGACGACTGCGTCCACTGACGGTGCGGTGGACGGTGGTACGTCCCCGGCCACTGACACGGACGGTGTGCCCACCACCGAGGAGACAGCGCCGGCGACCGGCTACATCCTGCCGCGGCCGCCCCGCTGCGGCTACCGCAACGTCACCGGCGTCCGCATCGTCGGCGGCGTGGAGTCAGAAGTCGGTGAGTTCATAAGCTCAACGGTATTTAATGTGGCGAGATTCTCATCACATGACATGACAGGACATTTGTCTGCTGGCCGTCTGAAGTGCCATCTTCATTCTTCATGCACATTCAATTCAGATAATTTCCATAGAATTCATGTAAGTTCATACTCAACGTTATTTTTAAACTTCGATAGTATTATTAGTTTCTTGTAGTATTGAGCAAAATGGTGCGGCAGTGGACAGTGGCCATTGGCCACTATTCGTGAGACAAAAAAGCTGTGCTGAGCTCAACGTCCTTGGGAAACGGTGTCACACATTCGACTGAGAGTGACCGCGATGATTACAGCCGAGTGGCCGTGGATGGCCGCCCTGGGCTACGACTCGCACGACGGCGACATCAACTTCCACTGCGGCGGCGCGCTTATCACTAACAAGCACGTGCTGACGGCGGCCCACTGCGTCCAGGGCAAGGAGGACAGCCTGTGAGTACTGGCCACATACCGGACCGGTGGCCCAGTCACCGACGGACGTCCGAAGGATGGAGAGACCGTTTAACTGCCTCTTCATCCAGGGTCCCGTTTCATAACTGATGACTGATTACTGATTAATGATTACTGATGTCTGAACTGAAGCGCGATCTTCGGTGTCGGTAGTATCCAGTCGCCCGACCCGAAGAAAAGTGAGGCAAACGTAAATGCCAACGTTTTTCTTCATGCTTTTGTCGAAAGTGCAGCACGATTTTAGACAATTAGACGATCACCGGCCAGGCATTACACTACCACATTAGCTTTGTTTCTCTATTTGGATCACCAGTTGTCTATTTATCCGCACGAACCGTGACTGTCTGACGATGTCTGCCGCAGAAACTGGGCCCGTATCGGCGACCACGATCTGACCAACGACACCGACGTCGACACGGCCATCAACTACGGCATCAAGGAGCACCGGATCCACGAGGAGTACAACAACCGCACGTTCGCCAACGACATCGCCATCCTGGTGCTGCGAGAGCCAGTGGAGTTCAACTGTGAGTTTACCTGCAGCCGGTGGAGTTCAACTGTGCGTGTGGAGTTGAATTGAGTTTATATCCAAGAGAGTTTATAGCCGTTAGAGTTGTTCTGTGAGTTTGGAGCAGAGGCAGGTATCAGTTCAACTGCGAGTTTAGAGTCGGTGGAGTTGTTTAACTATGACTAGAACCGGTAGATATTTCAGCTCAACTGTGATTTTAGAACTGGTAGAGTTTGACCTGGTTTTCGGCCCAAAGCTAAATTGAGAGCTTACCGCCGGTGAAATCCAACTGTGAGTTTACTGCCGGGGGAGTGAGTTCACTTGATGGCTCTTTGGTATCGATGATGGCTCTCAAACCAAACCTGTATCTTTACAGATGCAAGGCATACAGTTTGTCTGCCGTTTGAAGACGAAGTCAGGACCATGGTGTTTGACGCTAAGAAGCCCTTCATTGCTGGATGGGGCGCTACCAGCTACAGTAAGTAGCCGCTTCAGTAAACGCTGCTAATTAGCTTCAGTTAAAATTCATATCTAAAATCTTCAATTCTTCCAATGACATTATACCAACTGAATAAATCAGCTTTCAAAAAGACACGCTCAACGTTCAAACATATATCATTTGTCTTTGGTAAAACGATTGAACAATCAAACAAGTCACACAATCAAAGCGAGCTCTATGGGATACCCGATGACACGCAAAAGCCGTTTAGCACAGACACCGACGCGATTTTTCAAGATATGACGCTGAAACGTGTACGCCTTTTCTTCAGGGGGTTCCGCCAGCGCCAAACTGCTGCACACCCAGGTGCGGGTCATGAGGAAAAAGGCCTGCTCACGGCGCTACACGCGCTTCAGGCAGATCACCATTACCGACAAGGTGCTCTGCGCCAGGAGCCCCGGGAAAGACTCGTGCCAGGTAAGACAATCAATGGGTCTGTCCGCATGCCGCTCCCTGTCCGCTGCTGACTATCATTTGCTACTCCGCTACATTGTTATTTTTTTTTTTCATTCTGCTCTTCAGTTTCTTTTGAATAATGTTGTTTGCACGCATTCTGTTCGACAGGGCGACAGCGGCGGTCCGATGATGTTCCCGTCGCCGTCGGGACCGTACTTCTACACGATCGGTGTCGTGTCGTTCGGGTACAAATGTGCCGACGCCAGAGTGCCCGGAGTCTACACAAGAGTCAGCGAATATCTCGACTGGATCACCAGCCATCTGCACGACACCGACTGAAGCGCGCCGCGGCCCGGCTCCCCATGATTCGGTCTCCGCTCGAAACTCCCCGTGTTGCTTCGACACTCGCCATAAGTGTGAGGTTGCCTTCGTCGAGAAAAGTCTGTTTTGGACGCTGATTTGTGATTTCGAGTGTGATTTGTGTCGTGATCGGCGATGTGCCTAGAGATGTGTTCACTTAAAGCGACACGATGGGTTAGGCTTTGTTCGTGCTTAACATGTGGTATGTCGAGTTCATGTCAGTGACTTTGCAAATTTTGTTATGGGATGCATCATCCGGGGATAAACTGAATATGAGTCGATGATATTGTTTCGTGGAGCGGAAATACACGGAATGGAAAGCCAAACACTGGTAACCCGCAATGTAAGCACTACTCCCCCTCACCAGTTGCTGGGATGTCCAGCGTTGAGGTCCCCCGGTTAGCTATAAGCTACTAACTATGTGCTGGCATCGTAATTCATGCTTTGATGACATGAAGGGGCATAAAACACGACGCATTCGCTTTAAACGTCTTATATTGTGTCTCTGAGGTCATGTGATTAGAGGATGCTCCTGCCCATACCTAACGGTGTAAAACTCGAGTGCAAAGGCACAACCGCCCAGACAGCAGTTTTTGAGCGACATACATCTGAGCTGCCGCCTACCTCAATCAGAATGAGGTAGGGCATCAAAAAATCAGCGTGGTATTTGTCTTTGGAATTAATTTGTAACGTAATCTTGTGCAAGTTGTCACTATTGTTTCATTAGGCCTCGCTTTCATCTTCAATATCTCAGCGTAATAACAATTGCTCTTTGGCTTGGTATCTTGTTCCAGTAGAAAAACCTATACCCAGTTGTTACAATAAGCACCATGAACGAAGTAACGTCATTATCAAAACGATGACTGTGGCGCCCCGAAGGAAGAGGCCCGGGATAGACTAGAGAGTAGAGCGCGGCTTCAGAGTTCGTCTACTAAGGGATCGATCGACCAGTCCGATGATGTCACTGGTCTTGTCTCTGGAGTCTTGCAGACCGCTACATCTTCATTCCAGTAGCAGTGGAGACTACCGGCGTAGTCGGAGAAGCAGAGTCCCAGGGATCGATAGAATTACAGTAGAGTCGCGAATAACATGACTATTCATATCGACAGATTAAGACTAGAAGAGTGAGCGGTTCTAGCACCTTCGGTGATTCACTTGCAACCACTGTAAACAGCGGTAATAGAGATTGTACAGATCATACGGGACATAGTGGCCAATGCCAGCCACGTGATCCCTAACGCGTGTTATATCAGGATGGCTTTCGAAGGCCACCCGAACAGCAGCACATTAAAACGAGTGCAGAAAACTGTGTCCACTGGCACCATACCGGTCTGGCGTGAGGCACGGGACAGCGATCCGCAGGTCAGAGGCGAGTCGGGCCGGCCGGCCGGTTCAGAGAATGGGCTCGTAGCCGTTCCAGCTGACCTTAGCCGCCGGCCAGCGGGTGCGCAGGCAGTGCTCCAGCGGGGGCACCAGCTCACCGGGCCGCACGGCCGGTAACTCGGCCGATGGGTCACCGCCGTACTCTGGAAAACGCCAGCGGGTCAGTAACAGCAAAGCATGCGCTACCACCAATGATACTGCCGCGTCATTTCGTAATCTAGAATATTTATGAGTATGCCGACAACAATCACATGAAGACGGGGGTGTACTCCACCATGATGCGACGTAAGAGCAGAGTAAAGGGTAAAACAATATTTTAGTGCTCATTGTTGTCGAAAATCGCTTTCGACGCATTAGACGATTCGAGCGATTTAGTATCCCTTCTTAGGGTACGGGTTGAAACGTCAAATGCAGCGTGTTTATTCGACAGCTCACTGACCTACGGTGAGCCGGATCTCGTCGTCCTGCCTGGCCAGCATGTCGTAGTAGAATAGGTCGAACCGGCCGGCCTCGGGCGGCTGCTGACACAGCCGTCGGTCGCCGGAGAAAAGGCACGTGAAGTGGGACTCGCTGAGTATCACCCAGATCGGCAGCTGCGGCGACTTCAGGTGGGAGCCCACCTACGGCCGAAGACGACACAGGTCAGGTAAATGGTGAATGTAGCTGGATACTGGATATCACATTCACCTTCAAAGGCACTAAAATTCAACTACAAAGGCTGAACGAAACAACATACAAAACTGAGACTAAAGCAAGTGTCCATGTCTATTGAAAATTAATGTCGCAAGGACATAGAAGCGAAAATGAAGCGTCGCGGTTCGTGAGGAATTATGCAAAATGTCCAGTCGTTGCGTGAGAATCTTACAGCACGTACTTAACATTGCAGTGATGTCACGGACCGTGAGGCCCGTGACACCCATGTGATGTGAACCCGTGTGACTCACGGTCACATGGGTTACCGCGGTAACACACAGCCCCTGATAAACAATGCATGCAGCACGTTCACACAGCGACCCGCACCTCGCAGGACTTGTAGTGCTCGAAGAGGGAGAGGAGGCCGATCTCGCTGCGCTGGTCGACGCCGCGCAGGACGGTGACGTCGGCACCCTCGCCGAGCCGGACGGTGCCGTCGAACACGTTGGACGAGGCGGTGCCGGTGAGCAGCAGGTTCACCAGCTCCTGGGTGCAGTAGCCGTGCCGACCGATCACCGTATTGGTGGCCACGTCCATGTCCCGTTTAACGCTGCGGCATCAGTCACGGCCGGATAAGTCATACTCGGCCTCGGTTACAGAGCATGGTTCAGTCACGGCCAATCTCTGCCACAGCTCAGGCTATATCATTAGTATTATTATTGTTTATTCAGCATCGCCATGCGACAATAAGATACATATCTCCCCCCCCCCCCGCAAACACACACAGTTAATTAGCAATCAGGAGGTCAGTAGTCTTAACAATATATCACGGCCAACAGTTACAGTTAGGCCCAGTTACAGTCAGTCTAAATCACAGCTGGCTCAATCAGTATCGGCCACACGCAACGGCGGCTCAGCCTCATACAGGCTCGATTACAGGGAGCGACATCCAACATTCCTATTCCTTCCTATCGAACTTAGTAATATCGATATCCCAAGTTCACGTTATCGAGCTCTGCGAATACGATAAACGGTGAGCCGTCGCCCGTGAGACCGTCTCACCTGTCAATGCCGCGTGAGAGCAGACCGTCTCACCTGTCGATGCCGCGTGAGAGCAAACCGTCTCACCTGTCGATGCCGCGTGAGAGGACGGCCGAGTAGGTGAGCAGCACACAGCCGGCGTCGGCGGCGAACTGGCGCCGCTGGTCGCGCACGTAGGCCAGCAGCGGGGCCACGGCCGACACCCGGTGCAGCTGCAGCGTCTCCGTGATACCGTCCGCCCGGTACCGGCCGCCGCCCGGGAACTGACTCCGGCCCGACGACCTGACGGCCGGCATCGTCACCGTCAGCGCAAGCAGAACGAAGCATTATTTGCTGTTGTTTATTCTCATCTCGCTTCTGCAGAACTCAGACGGCTGTATTTTTATTGTTTCTTATTGACATTGACAGTGAATTAATAACGTGTGATACTGATCACCTGTCGACGTTAAATGTATGAATTTCTTTTTAAGACGTGATAAAAGATATCCACGATGTGGAAGTTCCTCAGTAAACGAGCCATGATCTCTCAACTCACAATGCAACAGTAGCCTCGCCGTGTCCGCACTTCCACAGGATCTCTGTGATGGCGGCGGTCAGGGCGGCGCCCTGCTCGTCGCTGGAGGGCCGGTGGGCGTCCGAGGCTGGCGGTACGGAGCACAGCTGGGAGCCGAACAGCAGCACCTTCATCACGTACGCCTGCAGCACGGCCAGCACGCCGCACGGACCGCCCTGCCGGCGCACGAGGAGCACAGATGCACATTGCACTTAGTGAATACGTTCCATTGTAGCGATACTGGAGCGATCAAATCGAGATAACACCAAAACACGGTGCGATAACTGCCGGTGGTCCAGGAATGTCCCTGACCCTTTCATTGTATGATTCATGCGCGTACTTATTTCAAGTTTACAAGTCATACTTTGATATGACCCTTTTCCAAGCGCTTGAAACTATGCATAAAACATCAACTATCCGCCTTTCCATAGACTAACCTTATATTGGACAATTCCGTATGTGATGTTTTCTGTCTTGTTGAATGACAAGTTCTGCTTTGTCCATTCCGGGCTGAAGCTCATTGCTGTGGAACCCAGCATGAGCTCTTTCAGCCTGCACCCCTCCTGCTCGGTGATTGGTGTTCCCTTCACTGGTGACCGAGTCGATACCGACCCCTTGCCGCCCATTGTCGCAAAGTCGGACACGAGTTCCCCCATCGTATCGTCGTCAACAATTTCCAGGTCGCCGAACATGTGGCGCTGATCGTTCTGCGGGGCCGTAGGGGCCGACTCCGACTGCTGCTCCCCACCGAACGTCAGCGACGAGCGTCTCACCGTCCATGTGTCAAACCCTAAGGCACTTTGGGTCACCGGCTGGGCAGAAGCCGCCGGACGCACCGCGCGGGTCTCGGTGCGCGCAAACAGCTCGTGTGAAGAGACCGGGGGCGGGCCCTGCATCGCACTGCCGCGCCTCGGTGGCGCTGGTTGACGCGGCCCCCATGTATCGCTGGTGGACTGTACACCTCCCGTGATGCGCAGCTCGCGCGATTGTCGGATGCGTGCTCCGCGGCTCGCTGCCTCCTCTATCAGCCCAGAGGAGCGAGTACCGAGCGACGGATCATCCGTGGCTCCAGTTCCCATCATCTCAGTCCGCATACTGGCCATAGTGGCTCTGATGCGCTGTCGCTCACGCTCTTCCTGGGAGAGTTTGAGCACTTCGCGATTGGCCCCATCTTCGACCGCGCCGTGACGACCGGAGTCAGCCGGCTGTTTGTCGAAAGGATTGCGCGCTGCGACTTGCGGCCCAACAGCATGGCCGCGGATCATCATGGCACTCGGTGGGCCATGAGGTCGCGTCGGACGCAGCTTTCGGTCACCAGTCGCGCGACGCATCCCGTCAGTGGCAGCGGTGTCTTGGTGGCTGGTGCTGGTCGGAGAACGGTGCCATGAATCTGTCAGAGAGGGTACCGCTGGCGCTACCTGACGGGATCCGAATGTAAACGTCTCGCTGAGTGCATGGCGAGCGTCGTCCAGAGCGTGCCCCGTCGCCTCCTTGCGAGTGAAGCGGTGCTCAGCGACGCGCACGATGTCCCAGTTGTCGTAAGAGCTGGAAGCCAGTCCGAGCGGAGACTTGGCGACAGAAGAGTCCGAAGTACTCGGCGCTGACGGTGGCTGCGATGGTGCTTCCTGTTGAGAAGAACCTCGACTGAGCCCGTAACGGCACGTGAGCGGGCGTACTGCGCCACTACCAACTGGAAAAAAAGAAAAAAGATTGTCATTCATTCGCTGAAGCCTATTTTTGTCATACATCTTATGATGTATCTCTCAAAGACTGCAGGTTGCAATCACCTAGCAAATGATGCATTGTTTGGCGCCGATATACCGAGACACAAATGCACGGACAGCGTGGCCGTAGCCAACACTGACCCCGGCAAATTACCTATTTACATCTGCCTTGGGTTGAACGTTTCATCGGAAGTCATTCCTGTTAAAAATTTACATAGCTGGAATGTGTCGTTCAAATGAAACTACTGTGATTTTGCTATAGACTTTTTGCCAAAACAGATTTCGCATAAATAGCGTTATAGGTACGTTCGTCTGCAATGCGTCAATTTGCAGAGCAATTTATTCCAATATGATATCCATAGGTGTTATTGCGTGCAATCATTCCAATGGCACCCTTGGTCATGTTACTGGTCTACAATCTATGCCGCCGATCTCATGTTTCTTGGCGCCTATTTCGGACAAAAGTCATGCTAAATTCTCTTGAACGCAGTTTATTGAACGTTCATCGAAAACTGAACCGAAAAATTACACCCCTCAACAGAGATCATGCCTCTGAGCGGTTACACGACCTAACCATAAAGCCAGGGGCGGTCGCAGACTTGGAGTTTGGGGGGGGGCCAACTTGTCAAAGGGGCCCCTGCGCTGACCCGGGGGGCCCGGTGCTAGCTTAAAGGGGCCCACGGACGTAGTGCACGGGTGCAGAAATCCAGGCCATGGCCGGTGAAGCGGGGGGGGGGGGGGGGGTAGTGAGCGGCACCCGAGAGGAGGCTCATTGCGAAATGCGAGCTTTGAGGGTGTACCATGTCGAAAAGGTACCGATAAGTACATTTTGAAACATTGATATTGTCAATAATTCACGCAACTGTGAATGGACTACCGCAAAAGTAAAGGCGGCGCGGCTAACTTTGCCATTTTCTAAGATCATCGTGCTAAAACTTTTGACAGTGGGTCATCGGTATCTGTTCACTGTCCAATCACATGTGTTCCGTTTCATCTTTCTTTGTTTATACTTGAACACAAATGTAAGTTTTGAAGGCCATTACAGTAGCCAATACTTCGGAAGATGGATAGTGGGCCAAATATCCTAAATTTGTCGTGCTGCATGGAAAGTAGTGTTGCTGAGAAAAGGGGTTTTGTTCCAGATTACTGTGGATGCGGAATACATTGTCTGCACCCACTGCAGAATTATTGTTGGTGCAACTGCGCCCACTGCACCCATGGTTCCTACACTTATGGGCCCATCGATAGCGCTTCGGCGATACCTATCGCCTAGAGGCTGCAATGGGGCCCTTAGAGTACGGTGTCAGACCCCCCAGAGGCCGGCGTTGGACCCAAGGGTCAGCGAAGGGCCTCAAAGGCCCCAGGTAGGGCCCCAGAGGCTGATGTGGGCCTTCAGAGGCAAGTGCGTGACGCCGAAAGGTAAGGCTTGAGCCCCCCCCCTCCCAGAGAACATAATAGGGCCATCAAAGGCCGGTGTGGGACCTTTAGAGGCTGGTTTGGGCCCATAGGGACCAGTTTAGGGCCATCAGAGACCAGTACAGGGCCTGCAAAGGGCAGTTTGAGACCATCAGAGACCGAATTGGGCACTCAAAGGCTAATGTGGGTCCTTACAGGCCAGCATGGAGCCCTCAGAGGTTACCGTGGGGCTCTAAAAGACCGACATGGGCCGGCGTTGGACCCCAGAGGCCAGTAGAGGGCCGTCAAAGGCCAAGATGGGCCCTCAGAGACCGATGCGGGCCCTTAGAGGCCGGCATCGGGTCTTCAGAATCCAGTGTGGGGGCCCTCAGAGGCTAATGTGAGCCCTTACAGGCCAGCATGGGGCCCTCAAAGGTCAGAATAGGACCCTAAAAGACCGGCATGGGCCGGTGTTGGACCCCAGAGGCCAGCGGAGGGTCCTCAAAGGCCAAGATGGGCCCTCAGACGCCGATGCGGGCCCTGAGCGGCCGGCATCGGGTCTTCAGAAGCCCGTGCGGGCCCTCAGAGACTAAGGTGGGTCCTTACAGGCCAGCACGGGCCCTCAGAGGTAAGCGTGGGGCCCTAAAAGACTGGCATTGGCCGGTGTTGGACCCCAGAGGCCAGCAGAGGGCCCTCAAAAGCCAAGATGGGCCCTCAGAGGATGATGAGGGCCCTTAGATGCCGGCATCGGGTCTTCAGAATACAGTGCGGGGCCCACAAAGGCTAATGTGTGTCCTTACAGACCAGCATGGGGCCCTCAGAGGTCAGTGTGGGGCCCTAAAAGACCGGCATGGGCCGGCGTTGAACCCCAGAGGCCAGCGGAGGGCCCTCAAAGGCCAAGCCATGGGCCCTCAGACGCTGATGCGGGCCCTGAGCGGCCGGCATTGGGTCTTCAGAATCCAGTGCGGGGGCCCTCAGAGGCTAATGTGGGTCCTTACAGGCCAGCATGGGGCCCTCAGAGGTCAGTGTGGGGCCCTAAAGGGCCGGCATGGGCCGGCGTTGGACACCAGAGACCAGCGGCGGAGGGCCCTCAAAGGCCAAGATGGGCCCCCAGAGGCCGATGCGGGCTCTTAAAGGCCGGCATCGGGTCTTCAGAATCCAGTGCGGGGGCCCTCAGAGGCTAATGTGGGTCCTTACAGGCCAGCCAGCATGGGGCCCTCAGAGGTCAGTGTGGGGCCCTAAAAGGCCGGCATGGGCCGGCGTTGGACACCAGAGATCAGCGGAGGGCCCTCAAAGGCCAAGATGGGCCCCCAGAGGCCGATGCGGGCTCTTAGAGGCCGGCATCGGGTCTTCAGAATCCAGTGCGGGGCCCTCAGAGACACTTAAAGTCTAGTCTTGGGACTCGAGAGACAGAAATGAGGCCACCAGAGGCCGGTGTGAGGCTCTCAGACGCCGGTTGGGCCCTTGAGGCCGGTTTAGGGGCCCTCAAAGGCCAGTGGAGGGCCCTCAGAGGTCAATGTGGGTCCTCAGCGGTCAATGTGGACGCTTGACCGCCACTGAAAGGCCCTCAGAGGTCAGTGTAGGACCCTCAAAGACTGGTATGGGAGCTGTTAAAGGGACCCTCCCACCTTAACATTAGTTTTGAGTTGAGATAGCCAAGTTTGCGGCCAGGCTCAGAAACCACCATTTATCCTGGTCGCAACCCCCGCAGCTTTATGGTGTTCAAGAAATTTCTTCCCTTTACTTGCAGGGTGGGACCAGCGTGGTCCCTATCTCTTAACCATTACGGGAATCTGATGACGTCATCAGGCTTTCGAACGTTCGTTAAATGTTTGACTAAAACGTTTTGTAGCACGCGGTGGTATATGCTGCTTTGCGCGCAACAAATGCCGCACTTTCAAATAAAGTCGCTAGGAACAGCGGAGATCCCAAAAAGTAAACAAAAGTAAAAGTCTAATATCTTGAAAACCGGTGAATATTTTTCGATGAAATTTGGTAGATATTCGTTTTTGCTCTTTCTGAACCGAGCGACATCACTTTCATGCCAATTCATTAACTTTTTTGAAGGTGGGAGGGTCCCTTTAATAGCTGGCGTGGGTTTCTCGAGCCTCGTGACAATCGAATACGGGCCAGGGCCCCATACGGCCATGGGGGCCCATCGGTTGTTTGGGGGGGGCCAAATGATATGATGGCCCCCCCTGATTTGGCTTTGGGGGGGGGGGCATGGCCCTGATGGCCCCCCCCCTGCGACCGCCACTGCATAAAGCTACTAACAGTTTTCGATAGCAACTTATTACAAAGTCACGTTGGAACGATGTGAACATTATGCGTCAATCTCAACAGTGCGAATCGACTAATAAGCAACCTGGCCTTTTTGGGTCTGGTCAAGACCTTGACCTTAGGTTATATATTTCAGCTGCCCTATGACTCACAGCTGGCGTCGAAGCGCAGTGACAATCCGCTGAGCGAGTCGCTCTTCTTGCGCTGGCGGTACGAGTCGACGGCGGGCTGGAGTTGGAGCTGAGAGCGGCTATCGGCGCTCATGGCACCGCCGGCGCCGCTCCGCCCACCCAGCGCCGCCGCATCGCCGCCGACAGGACACTGGGCCGGGTCGGCAGGGGGGCCACCAGTCGCCACCAGTTTCGCTTTGTCCAATCACTGCACTGTCCCCAAGCACCTGGACACTGCCCTGGTACTGTCCGGCGAACTGAACTCCCCAATGCCCCCCGTTCACCGCAGAACCTCTGTCACATCGGGCCGCCGCCGCACTGCCTCTGACAGGGCTCACATAGTTCACTACATTGCCATGACTACCGGAGCTCTCTGTCCACCGCACTGCCTCGGTAGACCTCCCGAACCGCCACTGATTAGTGGTGCCGGTGGAATCCGGCTGAATCGACACTGGACCGAACTGGCACCGACACTGGACCGTACTAGCACCGACACTGGACCGAACTAACAGCGACACTGGACCGAACTAACAGCGACACTGGACCGAACTGGCACCGACACTGGACCGTACAAACGCCGACACTGGACTCGGCGTCAGGTGTTGGTATCGAGCGGCCGCCCTGGAAACGCCGACCCCTCCCCTCCCGCCCCGCCGCTCGACTGATCGATTGCAGTCCGATCTACGCCCCGCCCCGGCCGACTGGTCGAACTGTCACGCTAGACACGGGACACCATCAAACTAATCCTTTGGGTGCCAGACTCCGCTTAGAAGTGGCCGCCCGGGCTAATCGCAAATTAAAGAAAAAACTCCACTTGTCTGGTCAGGGCCCTGTTTCACCGGTGATAGCAGCATGCTGCTTTTACACGTGTCAAATTGGGTTTCCATGGAAACATCAACAGGCCCATTGCTCCAACACTACCACAAGTGTGACGTCAGCTCGCGCAATTTGATAGCAGCGTGGTAGCAGCGTCCCGTGAAACACCGCCCAGGTCACCGAGCCATGACATCATAAGTCGGATGCATTTACCCGCGCCCCACTGGGGTCTGCGTATAACACGCCCTACTGGGGGGGGGGGGGGGCTATTCATAGCCCCCCTCCTAACTCCGAAACTACTGGGCCGATCGTCAAAATTCAAACGGCGTCTGATAGCCCCGGAAAAACTGTCGAGCGAAACCTAATTTCATTGACCTCGAGGTCACCGATGACGTCACAGGTCAGGTCAAAGTAAAAATTATTAGCATTTTGGCTTCTTCACGTTTTGGGCTCTGGCTGCCGTCTTACAAGTCAGATCAGGCTCATTTTTGGTTCACACACTCGTGAACAGATTCTCTAGATACTCTGAGGGTACCAAACTTGTACTTTGATTTTCAGGTCAAGGTCAGGTCATCACAGGTCACGAAAATATTATATCATCCGTCGGTCACGTGACACATGTTTTATGGTCCATTTAGGCCAAACATTTCGAATTTGATGTCGTCTGTGTCATTCGTGGTCATTTTGAGTCAAATTTAGCTCAGGTCAGGTCACTTTCAGGTCAAAAAAGGTCAAATTTTGAAGTTAAAATTTTTCAACAAAAAAAGGTGTCTATTGGATGCAGTTTGAGCTCAGAAACACGATGGTGCTATTTATATTGGCGTACGATGTCAAATTCGTGCTGAAAAATTGATTTGAAAAATTAATAATTGTTAATTTTTTGCAATAATGCGTATAACTTGGCCATTTTTGAAGATATTTAGCTAAAACTTGCTAGAGTTAGTCATAATAATGCGTTCTATCACATATATTCCGGTTTTTTTCGAAAAGTCAAAAAGTTTTTGAAAAAAATGTAAAAATATAAATTTTGAATTTTATTATATAAAATTTTCGAAATTTTCAAAATTTCGAAAATCCGAGATAGCAGTTTGATAGCGCAGTCTATTCTGAGTCCTCTCATGCAAAGAAATTGGATCTAGCTTAAAAACTGAGCTCTTGGGAGTGATTGCCGTGGTTCAATGTTTTGCGTCGAAATCGGCCGAACATGACGTCACTCTGACGTCATTTCCGGCCGACCTATGGTAGGTACGAAGTTCAAATTTTGAGACAAGGTGTCAAATTGATGCAGCCGAAGGTACTGAAAGTTTGGCGTCGATACGTCAAGCGGTTTGGAAGTTATTGCAGAAAAACGGGAGGGGGGGCTATAAATAGCCCCCCCCCCCCAGTGGGGCGCGGGTTTAGGCCCTTGGATCACGTTCACGTTCGGCTGAATCCGGCGGATCTTGTAATCTGGGAGAAGTTTCTTGCCTTTTGTCATTTCCGCATTGCAAACGAGACAATGGATGTATTGTTTGTTGATATCTAGAAGCTTTGTAAGGTTGATTCGAGGTTAAAATCCCGCAATATAATGCTGATAGAAGCTATGGAGGCTATTAAAGGGACCCTCCCACCTTCAAAAAAGTCAATGAATTGGCATGAAAGTGATGTCGCTCGGTTCAGAAAGAGCGAAAACCAATATCTACCAAATTTCATCGAAAAATATTCACCGGTTTTCAAGATATTAGACTTTTACTTTTGTTTACTTTTTTGGGATCTCCGCTGTTTCTAGCGACTTTATTTTAGAAGTGCGGCGTTTGCGGCAGATGTTGCGCGCAAATAGCATATACCACCGCGTGCTACAAAACGTTTTAGTCAAACATTTAAAAATCGTTAGATATTTGCGCTGACGTCACACATTCAGAGGGGTATTCCTAAGCATTAGCCACTCTGAATCAAAATGCTGCAATTTTGAAATTCAATATTTCCGATTTAAGGCATTTCTCGATGTTGTGAGTGCCGAAACCGGTAATTGTGAGCCAGGGACCCCATTTTGGCTATCTCAACTCAAATCTAATGTTAAGGTGGGAGGGTCCCTTTAAATGGATTATCTGAGGTAGAGGGGGACATTTTCACGTAATGGTGATATAGAAGCTATGAAGGCTATTGAACGGATTATCCGAGTTATAGCGGACGTTTTCACGCCCCTTTCCATTCGCCTCCACCATGGAAATCGTACGGAAATGGAAATAGTACGGCCCAATCTTATAAAATGCCGTACTATTCTATTTACGGCATTTGGTAACATTAACGGTGATACCAGTGCCGACAAACAGTTATCCGAGTCAACGAAATGATTCTTTGGACCGTCAACATACGATGGACTGAAATGCGTGAAAACCATTTTGCATTTGATAGCCGTTGTCTGCAGCTGAACTTCAGCCAGTGCTGCCATATCCATTCCACGGCGTTTATAAGATTGAGCCTCAATCTTGTTATATTCGTGTGCTTTTATTGCTTTGTGGACTCTCGATTATAAAAGCCAAGCTATAGAGATCAAACGAAATAAGTGAATGAGTGAGTGAATGAATGAATGAATGAATGAATGAATGAATGAATGAATGAATGCATTGAATGAATGCATGCATACATGTGAATGAGTATTAAGTAACTGAATAAGTGAATGAATGAGTAAACGAATGAATGGATCACCCGCTTCAGGGTGATGGTTCAGTCGTCGAGACACGGGGAAGGGCATTTTACGCCTCCCGCCCCCTTCCCCTAACTCCGGTTCTTGGCCACTCAGTGGCACAACGTGAGCGACGTTCGAAAGGTCTTCAAAAATATTCGTTGAAAAAATCCAGCTATTTTAGTTCAGGTCGTAGGTTAGGTCACCAGAGTCATCCGTGATCCGAAAGTCAGATTTTCCAGGTTTTGACATTACATTACCTATAACTTTTCGGGCAAGTCTGCTCACAAAAGGTTAGAACATCTCAGATAAGGTGGTCAATAGCTCTTTTAAATTCTTTTGCTTATGTCTTAACAGCTTTGACCTGTCTACAGTTTAACCACCAACGGATAAAAACCGCCAATAGTTAGATGAACGGTTTGGCGACCAGTGCACATAAATAAAATAGACGTTTATGGCAAAATATTTTTCTGCGATTCGGCTCAAAACTGGCACGACATTGATTTTGCCAGCATCGTGTTCCTCTAATCGAGACGCGTCGAATGAGTTATAGCTTGACCTTAAAACTAAAGATCTTTCTGAAAAGTTGACCTAAGATTACCATGACCTGACCGGAAAAGGTCATGTTGCATATAAGTCGATCCGTGTCGTTGAGCTGAATACATCCAAGGTGTGTTCCTCGCTCTAGCATGTCCATCAACTTATCGTAACAAACTGCTAGGGGTCAATTTCATGACCTGAGCCATACGTAGGTCCAGAGAAGAGTGAGAGGGCAGAGGCCGAGGAGAGCGTTTTCGTGCCTCTTTTTCCTCTTGCCTCGATGTGTTACGATCGTATCATACCATCGGCATCCTGACATGGATTGGAGTTTATCTGTAGACGGCTTATAATAGGCAAATAAAATAATATAAAAGGAATGATTATTGGTTAGGGCTCGGTTTGTGTAGGTTCTCTATTGCATCGTATAGATTGAAAACTCCCGGACAGTATCTCTTCCCACGACAATCTGTCGAGGAATCCATCCAATCATGTCTGGCGGGTCGGGTCGTAACGGTCTGGCTGGGTCCATCGACCCAGCCTCTGCGGTGTTCAGGCCGCAGATAAATGCGGGCGGGGCGGTCAGCTGCCTGGATGGGGTTAATGAACATTAGTTTTGACAGCTGCAGGCCATGTGCATATTTTGTTGTGTGCAGTGTGCAATGTATGTACAATGTACATCGTATCATGCCATAGAAACTGATTTTAAATGCGAAAGCGCTTATAAATCCCGAGAAATTTCGACTCTGGTAATGTGGGTCTTGATACTGTTGGCCGAATGTGTAATGTGTGGCACTGGCCGTCTTAACTACTTTTTTTTTTGCTTCCCGCTGTGACTGAAAACATCGCATAATGCATATTGCACATTGTAATGTAAGGCCAGCTAACCTTTTGTTCATTGCCTTTTCAAAGTCTTCTGCATATGACACAAGTTTATCGGGCGTGGCCGGAGCAAACTTGCAGTGCCTCTACAATAAGAGATCTATTTTTTCTTCGCCGACCTCGTACACAGTACAATGCTGGAGATGACGTCGTAGAACGCTTACGAAACGCCCTCCAATATCATCCGGCGCTCACATAAAAGTCCCGTTTTATCTCCGCGTCGCACAGTCGGAGAGGCAGTTGGCCGTCGGTGCCAAGAATGGATCCATGGCAGGCGGGGAGGCGGAATCGGCACCGACGACCGCGTGACGTCATCGTCGGATCGACTGACCGGACAGCGCCAGCTGACTGCGCCCGAGGTCGCGCCACGCGTGGGGTCGGGCCGTCAGATAGCGCTGTCACGGCCCCGAGTCGTGTCAGGTCGCCGTGACCCGTGTGCCGGCGACCACCTGGGCGGCAGCATGGTGCGTGCCGCCTCCCCGGCCAGTCGGTCACCGAGAGGATCGGCGCTGACCGCCGCGGCCGGCGCGAGTCTGACCGTCCTACCGCAGAGCCATGGAGCAGGTGAGGGGCGCGGCGCGGCCAGAGCCGCTGTCGGTCCGGTCCAGCACTGGCAGCGGGAGCGGGCTCACCGGAGTCTTACTGAATGGGCCGTCGAGGAAGTTCGCCGAAGTGTGCGTGATGTTACCCTTTGCCGTTGACCTGCTTGCGAGTGTATGGATCAGGAAATATGAAAAATTAACATTTATTTTCAATTTAATGGAACGGAGTGATTCGGCTTAAATAGCTACTAGAGATGTCAGAAATTCAAATGAGAATTGGAGGAAACAAATGAATACTGAAGAAACACACAGACAAAGAAAGCACGGAAACAATCGGATTAGGTCGAACAGTGCACATGTTTGATGCTTTAAACACGAAATTTTAGCGCGAAATGCATAGGAAAATGATATTATTTACGAAATAGTACACACATGTCGATCATCTTATGTTATCAAGTTATCATCTGATTACCGTACGATAGGGCCAAAGTTAGAGAAAAATGGATGAGATGAGTATCTTTTGGACGTTATTATTCGTTGTTTCATTAAACAAATAATTCACACTGCAGTCGAGACTAATATGCCAGGTAAAACATGTCGGTTAAGTTGCTAATCTCGCCACTAAAGGCCACCTTTGATCTCATGCAGATCATCAACCTTATTATCTCCTCCAAGGCTTCAACTGTCCAACACCAAAAAATTTGACGGAAAAACGTCCCAGCTGCCAGTGCGAAGTAACTGGCCATCGTTATGCGGTGAGTCACCGGTCAATAGGAGCGCACCGGCACCTCGCTGTGACGACGGCAAGGCGTGACATCGCTTAGGGTGCTGTAGAGACAAGAGACCCTTCGACCTTCTGAGCTGTATACCACTTCCGGGGAAAACTTCTAGACGGGGGCATATTGAGCGATTAAAGTTTATAATACTCGTGGTCTCGTGAGCGAATTATCGCGGCCCGGGTCGGGATCGAACTGGCGAAGCCTTTATGTATCTATAGTGTATAGAGTATAGGATATGTACGTCCTAGTCCTACCTACAAGAACAAACATATATTGTGAACAACGGACCACTTCACGCCCCGCTTTGAGTTTTTTTTTCTTCAAAACATCCTTTCAGAAACGAAAAAAAATGCCATGAACGTTTCGGGGCCTCGAAATTCTACAGGATAAAGCTGTACGTCACTAGCTATTCCCCACGTTCGTTCATATCTTTTATTGGCTATCAGGAAGACTCACCATTGCACCGTCCTGGGTGACCGTGCAGAGGTCGGTCCGGGTCCGTCTACAGCTCCACAGCTTCCCCTCAGTGACGTTCGCTGCAGTGCTGATCACCACGCAGATGACAGGCTGTCACAGGCTCGGAGTGGCGGTGTCGAGCTCACAGCTGTTCATAGTCCCTATTCTTGGCAGCCGAGTCATCCGTGGTCTGTCAGCCAGCTCTGTGACGGAGGGGGAAGGAATGTCAGACAAGACTGTACTTGGGTGGGAATAGTATATCCGTAATGGAATTGGTGATCGACGAAGTTTAACGTCATGTCCTGTGATCTTAGGTTCACTGTCGCATGCTGCCGCGTCAGTAATTATGCGTCTTTTATTTGCTTCGCGTGAAAGGAAGGAGGGCACTTATTGAGCGGAATCAAAAAAAAAATATTAACACTAAAAAACCTGAGACCTGAAAGGTTGGGAATCATGTGCCTATGATACACCTCACCGGTAACAACAACTTCACCGATCACTAAGCGTGCTACCGGTGATAGAACGTCTAGAAAACTGGACGGCATCGGTGCAACAATGCTTTTGCACACCCACAAAACCTTTTTAACCCTCGCCCGCACATGGGGGGGGGGGGTGGTTGCCACCCCCCCCCCCCCAGGTAGTCTTTCTGCTCTGCACTCAACATTTTAAGAGCTAGGCTGATTTTTCGTATAGCTGCTCCTCTATCCTTTCTTGATGTTGACTGAAAATTTCAAGTTTCTGTGGTTTTTGGTTTCGGAGATATGACCTTGTTTTTCAGGTCATGTCATGACCCAAATGGCCAATTCTCAACATCTTGCGTTGGTTATGGGCCTTGTGAGCTTTTGACACCTTGATTTCGGCCTTTTTTGCCAGTCTTACCTCCCACCTATCATGGAACATGTTGTTCGACGATGTACAGATGTCAAGGTCAGGGTCAAGGTCAACCTAGGTCATCTAAGATAATTGCGTTTTAGGCAAGCTGAATTTACTTTTTGTGAAGTTTTTGACTGCATTTTTTGGTGAAAGCTTCTCAGATCATGATTTCATGTAATACAAACACATAAACAATTGGTGCACACATCAGTATACACACAGACACACACAGACATACATTACAAACACATATCATTGACCTTGACCTAACTTGACCTGAAATGACCTCAGCAGCAAAAACCTGGTCGGGTAGTGTGACAAAGAGGTTCTAGCTGGCTTGGCACCAGAAAACGGCATCGTCATCGGCATATGATAAGCAGCGCACTTGATATCCAACGGTGACCCAAAACAGCAACATTTTTTAGTTTGACCTGACCTGGAAGGTCAATGACTGACCTGAGAAGGTAAAACTGGGTATCATTGGATTCGTCTCTTCCCAAAGAATCTTTTTGATCCTTACCGCTAAGCTCTATCTCCAACAGGAACGAAATGGCGCGGGGGGATGGCAACCACCGCCCCCCCCCCCCTCATGTGCGTTCTAGGATGGGAAAATGGCGTGTGCGGGCGAGGGTTAACTGATGCATTTTATTGTGTTTCAGAGTCCCAGAAAAGACCGCTGGCTTTACACGACATTCAAGAACATCAAGTACAAACAAATTGTCCTGAAGCCTGATGAAGAGGTTTACGAAAGAGACCCACATGACACCCATTCACATACACCCCAAAAAGCTGGCGGTGGACCGGGTGCTTCTGAGCAGAACTCGCCCACGGAGCCCGCCCCCGCGCCGGGCGCCGAGGCTCCCCCATCCCCCGGAGTTCTGCTGGGGCTGGGCGAGGCCGGTATTCTGTACGCCGCCAGTTCGGCGCTCTTCCTCTCGCTGTGCTCCGTGCTCGTGAAGCTGCTGGACCGGTTCGAGCCGGCCGAGCTGGCCGCGTTCCGGTTCGTAGGCATCCTGGTGCCGAGCCTGGTGTCGGCGCTGAGCTCCCGACACCGCCTGTTCCCGAGCGGGCGGCGCTGGCTGCTGCTGCTGCGATCGCTGCTCGGCGCCACCAGCCTCGTGTGTAAGTTCTATGCACTGCGTAACATGTCTCTGGCCGATGCCAGTGTCATCCTCCTGAGCGTACCCGTGTTTGTGGGCGTGTTCGCGCGCATCTTCCTGCGCGAGCCGTGCGGGTGGCTGCAGGCGGCCACGGTGACGGTCACGCTGGCCGGCATGCTGCTCATTACGCGGCCGTCGGCGGTGTTCGGCTCGGCGGGCGCGGACGCCGGCGGCGCGCACCTGCTGGGCTCCGCGCTGGCCTTCACCAGCACGCTGGCCGGCGCCAACGTGTACGTCACCATGCGGCTGCTGAAGGGCGTGCCGGCTACCGTCATCATGACCGTGTTCGCCTCTGTGGCGGCGCCGCTCTCGCTGTCCGTGTGCCTGGCCGTGGGCGACGTGCACGTGCCGCGCTCTCTGGAGGAGTGCGGGCTGCTGGTGGCGCTGGCCGTCTGCAGTTTCCTCGGCCAGCTGTGTCTGACGCGCGCCTGTCACGCCGAGCAGGCTAGTCTGGTGGCCGTGGTGCGCACCGTCACAGAGGTGATGTTCGCAGTCGCCTGGCAGTTCATCCTGTTTGACGAGGTGCCGACCATGCTGACCGGCGCCGGCATGGTGCTGATCATCGTCTCCGTGATCCTAGTTGGTCTGAATAAGTGGTTGGCCTCTCTGCCGGACGATCCCGACAAGCGCCCTGGGATATGCCGCTTCGGGTAAGGGCTGGAACCAGTCTAGTCACTATTCATCAGATGACGAAAGTGCGGTCGGTATCTTGAGACTTGAGATGTGATATACATGGACTCATCTAGTGGGTTTTCAATGCAATCTAACAAGTTGTGATAGTAATTGTAGTGTGCCGTGATTGTTGGGCTATGCTTGGAATGGGGACGTCGCAAATTGAGGAGATATGTATATTGTATAGCAATACTGATGGAGCGCGAAATATTGGTCTTGATGTTTGCGATAAAGCACTGATTTTCATCAAAATAACTATTATCTCTATCCGTGGCGCATTATGTCTGGAAGAGATAGATACCTATTCGTATATGTTTTTGTTACACCATATCGATAAACTGATTGGGTTTTGTGTTAAAATAAATCTGCCCTGGGGTTCTGCCATTGAAATCAATCCGCAGCTCCACCGATCCTCAATAACAGCTAACGACGGCTTGCAACTATCATCCAAGACTTACAACCGCGGATCTCTACGCTACAGGCATCAAAAGGTAGGTGTACAAAATGATAAATGATCATGTGACACTAATGCATTATGATGTCTGGTCAGTGTACATACAAGTACGCACCACGTAACGTAAAACTGGTGCGTTTCTGCCAACAACTCCCCTTACAGGTTGAGGTATAACCTTTTTTTCAGTCAAGTCATGATCTCGTTTACTTTAAGGTCAAATGACTAACCATTCGAAGCAAGTCAAAGAGTGTCATAAATGACTGAATAGCTAGATAAGTCAACAATGTCATACAGGATTTGAAATAAGAAAGTTATTGCTCGGCAAAACTTTGACAGTTAGCTACGTACCTACTTATTCCCTGCCGAAGTCTGGAATCTGCCTGTTACAATGTCCTCGTTATACCAATTAATTCTCTGAATATGCTGGTGAAAAAATTAAAGAACCATCGATTTTTCCAATTAGCGATGTGTGGCGCTGAGTTGGACACCAACGACCAGACTTCAGGGGTCAAATTACAGGGCCAGCGGGCAGAGCCCGGCGGAGGCAGGAGACGGGAGACACGCCGACGAAGCCGGGCCAGACCAGTAGATAGATGACTAATATCCTCTAGACCAGAAATCGGAGCTGTGTCGCCCTGAGTCGTAAGTTGCGCAAAAGGAAAGAATACGTGTGAACTGTAAAGTCATGATGTTCGATATTCCATAGGCGGCGGAACGGGGAGGGCACCGGGGCACCGTGCCCCCCTTTGATTTGGGCATTTTAACATTAGCCCTATGGGCGTTGCATGGAAAGAATGGGACCAAAAGTCGGCAGTTCCCCGACTTTTGGTCCTGTTCCGCGGTGAAGGAAAAAGAAGTGTTCCGCCGCTACTGCGACATTCGGTTTCTTATAGCCTATAGGTATCTTGATTCGGCCGACGGCCTCCAGGCCTCCAAACAAAATCCCAGACTGAGTATCTTCCCAATTATTTGTCTTCCCGACTTACCTGTAGAACAAAAATTGAGTGAAACATCGGCGGCGTGGTGTTATCATTATCATCTGACCGCAACACGGTAGAAAATACTGAAAAAGATAATAAAATGAAAGAAATATAGGTATGTCCGAAGGACTCCGAAACCAAGATCTTGTCCGGAACTTGTCCAAAACAATCTATTGTCTTGGTGAATTAGTCAATAATAGGCCCTAAAATACGGCCTTGGCTTGGTATCAGCTTTGGTAACACGTGAAATAAATGAAATTGTACCTATTTAGGGCCTTGAATGAAATGATTTATTCCCGTTGTCTGCTAACATCGAGGCCTTGCTAATATGCTTATTCCGCAGCAAGGCTATATAAACCAGGTAGAACGCTCGTCCCAGCCGCGGTCGGAGGGGGGACGGCTCAGGATACCACAGTGCAAGTTTCAGTTGCAGCCTCCTAGGTACTGCACTGGAAAGCAGACGAATGCCTCTGAAAGATAGGAATATAGGCAAAGTTAGCTGTAGTAGTGTCAATGATAATAGACATGACATTTTTGTCCTTTGACATACATTTGTTGAAGTAAAAAAAGGTACAAAATAAATTGGTTTGTTTCAAGACACGCTCACTGCACAAAGCCGCACAGACATTACACAGGCATATGAAATTGGTACACATAAAACTTGATGATTAAAAAGGTCAAAACTAGCAATAATAATTGAAGTAAAAGTTACAATCACAATCATTTCATTTAAAATGACTTGACATAAGTCACAAGACGCAACGCTCCTATTCACTAAAGAAAAGTTTTTATGCTTTCATTATCCTCCACATATCAACCAGCTTGATACCAGGCTGTGCAATAGTGGGTACATAACCCCATGTTGCCATTTTATTAGAGCAAGTGGGGTTACAACAACAATGCTAATGTCAAACCCACATCTGCAACCCGTACTGCAGTTTCAATCACCTTACAAGCACACCTTCTGGCAGTTTGATAGGCAGAATGGTCATTACTACCTTCTCCTCATATTCAACACATATTCCCTTTATACAGATACAGTTAAGACCTGGTTATGGCAAGCATTTTCGAGAAAAGATAGGATAAGAGTCCAAGACAAAGGTCGAGAGAAACAACACCAACATAAAACACCGACTATGTAGCACTAATACTGTCAAATTCATAAAAATATATACATGATTCGATCAGAAATTCACTGTAGATTTCGAAAATGGTGTCAAATGCCACTCAAATACCCCCATTCGCATGTACGAAGCAATAAAAGACTGACCTTCAGTTCCCCGTGCCATTCTCCATAGGCCACTGTGTATTAAATAACGCGTTCACTGATCGCAAAAAAAATGAGACCCACATATGACGCGTTTGCTACCAGCCAATCAGCGCTCGAGATGCCGAGCGCTGATTGGTGGAGAGGGCCGTCGTTAGCAGTCCATTACATGTCGTTTTCCTTGAACATGTGCGTGAGCGCTGATGCTGCTCACGGGCTGTTGCCATTTTTCGTAATGCTGAAGGCACGGGAGCGAACCCCCCTGTTCCGCAGCATGCAAGGCAGCATGTTTGTTTTCGTAGTTTAAACATTTTTTGTATTAAAGTTCAAAAGATATTTAAAGTTAGCATTTTCTGAAATTTATACATTAATTCTCATTTTTGTACAATAGTTTTACCTACATTTAATTTAAAAAAAGCAATCTTCCTTTACATAACGTCATTTAATAAGGCGTTTGTGAAAAGGAAACCCATAATATTTCATTCATCCTTGATAAAATGATAGCTTCAGTATGCGGCAAATGCGGTTGGGCTGCGACAAAACGGAGCGGTGAGTATAGGGTAGTTAATGCGTTATTTTGTGGAATATTTGTATTTTACCTTTGAAATTTTATTGAAATGATATTCCTCAATTATACTTAGATTGATTGTTAGGCAATTTATTATGACTTTGCCCTTAATACGTTAAAAAAGGTGAACATGTATCATGTATGTCAATGTGTAGCCTGTAGGTACCTACACGAAACGCTTCGACATGACTGACTCAAGGTTGAAGGTAAATTAAGCTGCACTATCATTGATCGTTCAGGAAATTACGTGTGTTATCTGCAGACCTGTGATTGCGGGGCTCCCTTGACATCGGTTTTTGCGATTTTCCAGAATTTTCGTGCATTATTGTACGTTGACGCAATAATAACAACTAATGGATGGTTTTGTACCTAACAGAGGCTTAAGTTTGCCATTTTCTATATTATTTTATCCATAAATAACTTTTTTTGTTAACTGAACATCAACACATGAAAATTAACGAAACAATTATTAATAATGTCACTTTGATTCATACGGTGCGCCACCGGCACCAAGTGCGCGAACAACTGTCATATCACGCAATCTCGCAGATTCTGCAAAAACGTTTGTAGCTCTAAACTTAATATTGGTACGGAACATCCAGACTGTCCTGACTATCCGGCATTTCCTGTACTGAACGTCCGGGATTTCCTTGAATGAATCTGTGACCCCAGTGTAGCCGACCCTGTGTATTTCCTATCAGCTGAACTTCATCCGCATACCAATTTTCTGCAAAACCTGCAAACTCTCAGATCATGCATGCAATTTCCCGGACGATCACGCATAGTGTAGCTCGGCCTTTAGGCTCTTGCTCAGGCTCCAGTGGACATCTTAATCTTTCTAACATCTCAAACGTCTTAAGCCAATTCATAGCAGTTTGCTTTGCTTTGTTTTATTGTACTCTCACATTTTGATTTGAATTTGTTATTGTTTTAGGTCATCTGAGAAAAGATTTCATGCAAATTGTTTATTTGCCTGAAGATTGGTCTGCTTTTGAGCCTTGAGCCAAGGCTCATTTGATCTACCTACTTGAGTCCTTGAGGTAAGTGCCTTAAAGAGAAGTGTCCTTAGGCCTGTTTCACTGTGAATTGTGCTGGAATATTATTCCATGACGCATGCGCTGAAGGCATCGTTGGGCAGAGCAGGGGCAGAGCTTCTGAATGGAATTGTGATGTCATGGCAGAATATTGTGCAGCAGAATGGCCTGACAGATTTCTGTGATGGTGATTGCTTTGCTTCTCAATGTGGTGTACCAAGTGACTGAATTCGTTTCATGTATCTTCCTTGCTGGGATGTAATTGGAGATGCAATGTCATGAATTGGTGATTTGCCACCCCACAGTATATTTGAGAAACATGAGTCAATCAGTGTGTTTAGTAGGTACGTTGCATTCTAGCAGTTTTTGTGTGAAATCATTTTGGATCAATAGCGATTGTCATGCTATGCTGCTCAGTAGAATATTTTGTCAGTGTTTCACAAAATATTTTGCCATCCTAGGTCTGCGATGTCACCAGAAAGGTGATGTCACACCTGGTAGAACTTTCTGCCGGGTGTGAAACAGGGCCCATAATAAATATGAATGAAATGAAGTGCTCATCAAGAGCTTAGTGCAGCACTTTCCTTTGTGCATACAGGCCTTGTCTTGTTGGTTGTATTAGTGTGTACTGTTCAGGCAACATTGTGACCTATGTTGAGGTATCCCTTTGCCTAAAGTTGTTCTGTTCACATTGCTTATGCAGTGTGACTAGGTCAGGAGGTATTGGCCATAGGGAAAGTAGCTAGAAAATCTTCCAGTAAGGTACCAACCTTACTTGATGAGAGCTCACTAAGGCACTGCCAATAGCCAATAATAGCCAATAATATAAAAATAATAGCCAATAGCCCAGCACCTATTGATAGCCAATAGGTACTGGGGCCTTGGTTCCAGCTACTTCTACTTGTTGCACTGTGAGATTTCTGATACAGGGTGTAAAGTTCCAAGGAGTGCTTGTGAAGGGTTCCCAGTTCCCACTTCCCACTGAGAAGACCATACATGAGGGCTGTTAGGGCCCGTGCAGCAATAGCATTGTTCAGATGCGCTCAGGTCAACGATACGTCATACGGAATGAATTCGATATACTGAATTAAGGCATTTCGTCAAGGTAGCCTGCGCAGAGCTTTCCAGTGACCCACCTACCTGCCTTTCTACCTTTCTATTGCAGATTGACTCGAGGGAATCGGCTCGATGGGCATTGGGCCTGCTTTAACATTACGCTCTATGGCGAATGACTATTTTCCAGTCGCTGGCAATTGAAAGTTGCGGCCGAAAAGTCGCTTCGCAAATGTTCGTATGACAAATGTACTTACATAGATACCATGAATGTTATGGTACTTAGTACAAAATTGCGTGGGTATTTAAATGTTCGTAGGGCATTAAGTACGTAGGGACAAGAGCACATATAATATATATGTTGCAGGCACTTTAGAAAATCAGTCATTTTGTAAAATGCCTAGGCATTTTACAAAAAGACGGCTGTTTGAAAAATGACTGAACGCATTCAGGCTTTTTTCAAAATGGCTAGCCATTTTACAAAATGACTAGGCATTTTGCAAAATGCCTGACCAGCATGGAACGTAGATCCCACTACAGATACTATGGCCAACAGTTTTTGGACGTTTTCCTATACCCTATAGGTACGTGTTCAGCCTGTAGCTGATCGATTTGAAGCTCTGTGATAACGACAATGCTGAGTAACGACCAGGTTGAGTTGCAGACTCGGCTGTAGCATAAAGCATTGTTTATGTAATAATTGAATGAGGACTTTACTCCACAAGAAATCGTTCGGGTCGGAGCTTTCGAATTGTATTACAAAGCTTCGTCAGCGTATCGTAATCGGGTTCGGGGGTATCGGTCGCAAAATTGAGGGCGATTCGTCTTTGGCAGACAGGACATGTCACAGATAGTAAAATAGATAAATAGCACGTGACATTCTATGATAAAACATTTAACATATATGAAAAAGAAGAAAATATCTCATAAGCGATATACATTCTAATTATATCTAAATCTGTTAAATAACAAAGGTTATTGATAGAGACAAGTAGAAAAACACGGAACAAATAGTGCATGGACGCGTTTCGATTATTAAATCTTCATCAGCATGACATAATCACAGAGAAAACAAGATATAGCACACAAACATTCGAGCTCGTCACAGTGCAATCGTCTTGATTTTAAAAATTCATGCATATGACATATTCACTACTAATCCACCTGTAGGAGAATATCCACGAAAAATGATAGCAAAATAGATCACTGACATACATATGACACATGGATAACAGCAAATTTATACAGAACGATCATGAACAAGTAGGTACTCATACAAACTAATGACACGTCTTCTTTAAACTATACATCGCCGCTGGTTTTGCCCATTTCATCGAACCCACCCTAATATTAATCGTTTCGTTCATTGCTATAAATGCCGCCTCTGTCGCCTTCCGATTGTCTTTGTTTTTACATAATGCTATAATTTCCGCCCCGCCCCATCTTGGTAAATGATGTGTTTTCTGAGCATGAATTACTACCGCGCTATGTTCTGCGTTGTTTCGCATGTCCCGCTTATGTTCCTTTAATCTAACGTCTAAGCCCCTCCCGGTTTCCCCTATATATGATTTGTCACAAGAAGCACAAGGAATCTTATACACTAAACTTTTTTCTTCTCCATTTCTTTTTGTTTGGTTTTTCAGTATATCCCCTACCTTTGTTCCCGAAGAGAAAGCTATTTTAAATCCAGTCATTTCAATCTGTTTCGCTATCATCTCGGCTGGTTTCGAATTGGGAAGTGTTATATATCGTTCGGTTTTCTTCGTCTTTGTTGTTGCGCTTCGCTTTCGAATATTGATAGCTTTTCTTTTCAAGTTGACTAGAAATCCTTTGGGGTACTCTAATTTCGTGAACGATGTCATGATGTGCTGAATCTCTTCATCTATAAACTCTTCACTACAAATGCGATACGCTCTAAGGAAAAACCCCAACACTATCCCACTTTTAACCCGATCATTGTGTCCAGAATAGAAATGTACGTACGACTCTTTGTTTGTAGGCTTTCGATACACTTTAAATTTTGGCTGACTCCCACGTATGATCACAGTATCAAGAAATGCAATCGTCCCGTTGCTTTCTTTCTCAAGTGTAAACTGAATCTTTTCCTCTACCGAGTTAAGTCTATCAAGTTTGTCCTCTAAGTTCGTTTCTTTTGGCACTACTACGAGAATATCGTCAACATAACGCAACCAAATTACGTTACTGCCCATGATGCCCTGATAATGGTGCTTTTCGAGCCACTCCATGTACAAACATGCCGCCACCGGACTCAGTGGTGACCCCATGGCTAGTCCCCTATGTTGACTATACTCATCAGACTGAAATTGAAATCCCCCAAAGTTAAGGCACATTGCAAGTAATTTCAAATAGTCATCTTTTGGCACAGGTAACTGTTCGGAGTCCATATTCGTTACTACAGATTTGATCGCCTCTAACGCACCGTCTACCGAAACGTTGGTAAACAAAGACTTTACATCGAAACTAGCCAGGAACTTATCTGATAAGTCCATGTCCTTGATCTTGTCCATGAGATCCTCAGTGTTGCGGAGATGTGCGTCACTGATCGTGCCCAATGTGCTTGAAAGAGGCCTGGCCAAGACCTTCGCGAGTCGGTGTGGAGCACTGCCGATCCCTGACGTTATCGGTCGCATCGGAACATTCGTTTTGTGTAGCTTCGGGAGACCGCGCATTCGTGGTGCAGCAGGCGCCTCTTCTAACAGATGGAGAAGATTTTTCCCTTTTTCGGATTTCTTGAGTACCTGTCTTGCTTCTTGATTGAACTTCTTACTAATTTTGTCCGTGTATCCCGAAGGTTTCTTTTCGTATGTTTCAGTGTCTTGGAGTAGGTCATTCATTTTGTTTGTGTAGTCATCGATGTCCATAATCACCAATCCACCTCCCTTATCTGCCTGGGTGACAATCACGGACGAATCCTTGGCTAATCTTCTCAACGCTTCCATGTATCTCCTTGGCAACTTATCAGCCTCCTTATCAGCTAGAGCTTTACAGCATAACAGCACGCCTTGAATAAAACCCTTTTCTACATCTTCATCGTTCCATCTAGTGTTGCGACGAACGTGATCCACATATTGATTTTTGTCCTTCCCCGTATCAAACTTTACTCCGAGGGCTAGTGCTTCTTTTTCGTTGTCATTCAGTGCTCGTGATGATAGGTTCGTGACGATTTCGCAGAAAAGCATGAATATCTCACAAAAAGAAAGCTCTCAAGCAGTTTCAATCGTCTTAAATTTCTGAATGATTGCATTCTAGAGCAAGTATTGCCGAAATCGGCTCCTCAACAACTTAAGAGTAAAGATCATCCATTTAGCACAACTGCCCGTAGCTTTTTAGAAGAAGCGTGCTCAGAGATAAGGGACAAGATATACATTCTACGAGATGAATTGAAAGGAGTGCCGATATCGACTGAGCTACGAACGAAACTGAAGAACTTCAACGACAAACAGCAGACGAAACTCAAACGAAAACTGAAGACTTTGTGCGACAACAGCCCATGGAAGGAAGCTGGCAATGTAGAAATCGTCACGAACCTATCATCACGAGCACTGAATGACAACGAAAAAGAAGCACTAGCCCTCGGAGTAAAGTTTGATACGGGGAAGGACAAAAATCAATATGTGGATCACGTTCGTCGCAACACTAGATGGAACGATGAAGATGTAGAAAAGGGTTTTATTCAAGGCGTGCTGTTATGCTGTAAAGCTCTAGCTGATAAGGAGGCTGATAAGTTGCCAAGGAGATACATGGAAGCGTTGAGAAGATTAGCCAAAGATTCGTCCGTGATTGTCACCCAGGCAGATAAGGGAGATGGATTGGTGATTATGGACATCGATGACTACACAAACAAAATGAATGACCTACTCCAAGACACTGAAACATACGAAAAGAAACCTTCGGGATACACGGACAAAATTAGTAAGAAGTTCAATCAAGAA